GCAGTTCTACCACCCCACCTCTCGACGTGTTCTGTCCTCCCAGGACGTCACGTTCGACGAGTCGGTACCCTACTACCGCCTCTTCCCCTACCGCACTACGTCCCTCCCCCCGCCCCCGCTCTTCTTGGTACCAGGTCCTCCCCCGGTAGACCCCCTACCCCCTCAGGGTCCTGCCCCTTCAGGTGTGTCCCAGGTAGACGCGGTCGAGCCTGTCGAGGTCACTGGTGACTCTAGTGCGGCTGCGGGAGCTGAGCCTGGGGGTGCGGAGTCTGGAGGTGCTGAGCCTGGGGGTGCTGTGCCTGGGGTTGCTGAGCCTGGGGGTGCTGAGCCTGGGGGTGCTGAGCCTGGGGGTGCTGAGCCTGGGGGTGCTGTGCCTGGAGGTGCTGAGCCTGGTGGTGCTGTGCGTGAGGGTACTGAGCCTGGGGGTGCTGAGCCTGGAGGTGCTGAGCCTGGAGGTGCTGAGACTGGGGGTGCTCCGCCTGGAGGTGCTTTGTCTCGCCGAGAGCCACTCTCCCCTCAGGAGCTACGTGTGTGGTTTGCCACACGCTGGAGGCGTGCTGCTGGTACTGGAGGTTCTTCGGCTGCAGAGGGCACTGCTGCCGAGCGTCCCGGCGGTGCTCGTACTGTGGGTGCTGGAGCTGCTGGGTCTGAGGGTTCTCCTGGAGCTGGTGCTGCTGAGGGTGTTGACGCTGAGACTGCCGCTGGAGGTCCGACTGGCGGTGCTCCTGGTGGTGCTGCTGGAGGTTCTGGAGCTGCTGGAGGTGCTGCTGGAGCGGGTACTCCTGCTAGGGGTACTGGTGCTGTCCCCGCTGTTTCTGGCGTCGCCACGCGGCCCCGGCCGTACTTCGTTCCGCTCCTACAGCAGGTTCTTGGTCTTACACCTTCTCCTGGTCCTTCTCCTCCTCCCTTAGAGGGTCCACAGCCTGTCTCGTCACAGTCACAGCTACAGCCTGCCTCCCCTTTGCCTGCTCCTTCTCCCTACGCTGGTCCGACCGGAGGTCTTACTGAGCGTCGTGAGCCTGCGTCTCGTCCTGCGTTGCCTGTTCGTACTGCGCGCGCTAGTGGTCGCGGTTCGCGTCAGCGTCCTCCTCCTGTCCCTGGTACGCATCGGATGTCTCTGCGTCCGTCCACTGCTCCTTTGCGTGCCCGATTGCCTTCTCCTCCTGCTTCCTCTCTTCCTGCTCTTGCCGACTCGGAGTCGGACTCTCTTCGCGCTGCCAGTCCTACGGTCACGCGTCTTCTTGCTACTGCTGTCACTGACCCTTCTTTCGAGTCTTCTGCTGCGTCTGCCCTTGTCACTGAGCTCGTCGACTTTGCTGCGCGCTGTCGCCTAGACTACGCTGCTAGTCTTGTCGCTGAGTCTGAGTCTGCCTGTCCTCCGTCCGTCGGGGGTGAGTGTGCCCTTGGCACGGACGTCCTTGAGGACACGCAGGAGGAGTTCCAGTGTCTGGCCGCCGCTTCACCTCATCTCGCATCTGTACTGCTAGCCCCTGAGGGAGACCCGGATGCACTAGACATCCCGACTCCGCGCTCTTACGCGGAGGCGATAGAGGGTCCCTACTCCTCTCAGTGGCAGGCAGCTATGGATGCAGAGATGGCTTCCTGGAAGTCCACAGGCACCTACGTCGACGCTGTTCCCCCTCCTGGGGCGAACATCGTCAGTGGCATGTGGATTTTCAGGGTGAAGCGGCCGCCGGGTTCTCCGCCTGTCTTCAAGGCGCGTTACGTGGCTCGTGGCTTCAGTCAGCGGCAGGGAGTTGACTACTTTCACACCTTCTCGCCCACCCCAAAGATGACCACTCTTCGGGTACTGCTGCACGTTGCTGCTCACCGTGACTACGAGCTGCACTCTCTCGACTTCAGCACTGCTTTCTTGCAGGGCAGCCTGCACGAGGAGATCTGGCTGCGCCGCCCACCTGGCTTCACTGGGTCTTTCCCTCCTGGTACCCAGTGGAGTCTCTGGCATCCAGTCTACGGTCTCCGCCAGGGGCCACGTGAGTGGCATGACACACTGAGGACTACGCTTGCAGCACTTGGGTTTGCTCCTTCTACTGCCGACCCGTCGCTGTTTCTGCGCACCGACACCTCTCTGCCGCCGTTCTACATCCTCGTGTACGTCGACGACTTGGTCTTTGCCACAGCGGACACTGCTCGACTCGCTTACGTGAAGTCCGAGCTGTAGAAGAGACACACGTGCACTGACCTGGGTGAACTGCGCAGCTACCTTGGCTTGCAGATCACTCGGGACAGAGCACGCCGCACCATTACCCTGACTCAGTCACACATGGTGCAGCAGGTCCTTCAGCGCTTCGGCTTCACGTACTCCTCGCCTCAGGCCACTCCTCTGCCTACTCGCCACTCGCTCTCAGCTCTGCCTTCGGATGAGTCCGTAGAGTCGAGTGGCCTGTATGCAGAGCTTGTTGGCTGCCTCATGTACCTGATGACCTGCACACGACCTGACCTTGCATACCCTCTCAGCATTCTCGCACGCTATGTTGCTCCTGGGAGACACCGACCAGAGCACATGGCTGCAGCGAAGAGGGTGTTGCGCTACTTGTGCAGTACGACGGGCATGGGGCTAGTGCTTGGAGGGCGCAGTCCAATGGTCCTCACTGGGCACGCGGACGCTTCTTGGGCTGACGACCAGGCTACGCAGCGGTCGTCACAGGGTTACACCTTCGGCCTTGGTTCCGGCTCTGTCTCGTGGCGGGCTACTCGCTCGTCTTCCGTTCTCGGCTCCAGTTGTGAGGCTGAGATATACGCCGGGGCTATGGCTGCTCAGGAGCTTCGCTGGCTCACCTACCTGCTGACCGACCTTGGAGAGCCGCCTCGTTCTCCTCCAGTCCTGTACGTAGACAACAAGGCCATGCTGGCCTTGTGTCGAGAGCAGCGACTGGAGCACAGGACAAAGCACATTGCTCTCCGCTACTTTCTTGCTCGTGAGCTGCAGCAGCGTGGATAGTTGCGACTTGCGTACGTGGCCTCTGAGGCCAACACTGCTGATGTCTTCACCAAGGCACTTGCGCCTTGTGATCATCAGCGTTGCTGCACGCAGCTGGGTCTTGTGCCTGTCTTGCCTCACTTGCTCACTTCTTGACCTTGCTTGTACCTTGCCCTATATATACTCTTGCTCTTGCTTGCTTGACTCTTGTATATCTCTATATATGATCTTGCATGCGAACTGGCCTTGTGGCCCTTGACCTTGTGCTAGGAATGTGTGGTGACTTTGTGATCCACCCTGAGCTTTGCTTTGCTTTGCTTGACTGGTCTTGTGACCCCTTGTACTCCCCCACTTTGCCTATGGGGGTGTGTCAGAACATAATAGCTTACTTGTTTGGGTAGGCTATAGTGGGGTATCCCATAGGGGGTACAACCCAATTAGGGTTTCCTATTTGTACTCTCCTCGTTCGTAGTCAATTCATTCACGTTCGTTTTATCACACCTCTCGTTTCAAACCTTCCCAGTCGCATGTAACTGCCTCTCAGCATGCTGTGGCCACTCCATCCATGATCACTTTTCTGCTGCCCTGTGCTTGCTCTGCTGTGCGCCCTCTCGTGTAGTGAACCTGGCAGAGGTGTGCATGATTCAGGATTGTGGAGAGAACGGGTACTGTGAGGAGGTGCAGGGGCGCACCACGTGTCGTTGCAACACTGGCTTTGCCAAGACTGCCGACGGCTGTGTTGGTCAGTGCTGCTTGCCTATCCCTGTTGTATTGATGAGTCGAGCTGTGATGACATCCTGTGTTTGTTACCCTGGCTTTTGAGTCGACTCAAACGTCACCGCCGACGGCTGTGTTGGTCAGTGCTGTTGCGTATCCCTGTTGGTCCGATGAGTTTCACTGTGAAGAGGAGCACGGGCGCAGGTAGGTGCATGCTGCTGCTGCTGCTGCTAATGTTATGTGTGCTGTTGCTGCCATGTGTGGTTTGATTGTTTTGCTGCTATTAAGGTACATTTCCCTTCACATTCACTGATTTTATTCCCTTCGCCCGCCACTCCGCCCTCCCCTAACAGACACGTTTGTGCTCTTGGAGTGCGGTGTGAATGGGCAGTGCGTGAAGGATGAGGATGGAGCGGCGTCGTGTGTGTGTGACGCTGGCTTCACGCTGCAAGATGATGGCAAGTCGTGCGCTGGTAAGGCTGCTGTTTGTTGGCATGCTTCTGTTCTTTGCCGCTATGAGTAATCATTCCGATTGGGTTTTGAGGCGCCTCAAAAGCGGTCGGTTCTTTGTGCTTCTTTGAGTGTGGCCCGCGCTATTTCTGAGTCGACTAAAGGTGGTTAGTTCCTTCTTTGTGCTTCTTCGAGTGTGGCCCGCGCTGACGCCGGGTGCTGCTTGATCAACATTGAAGGCTGATTCACTCACTCCCCATCTCCATCTCTCCCTCTCGCAGTACCCTTGAAAACTTCCAATCCAACTTTCTGCGACGATCCTTCCATCCATCTTGACCATCTGACTTTTGAGTCGACTCAAAAGTCAACTCAGTACCCTTGAAAACTTCCAATCCAACTATCTGCGACCCTTCCATCCATCTTGACCATCTGACTTTTGAGTCGACTCAAAAGTCAACTCAGTACCCTTGAAAACTTCCAATCCAACTATCTGCGACCCTTCCATCCATCTTGACCATCTTGACCACCGCCTGCCTCCCTGCCCCCCATGGTGTCTTGCAGAGAATGTGCCCAGGGCTCCAGCCGTCGTCCTGCCACCTGCTGCCAGCAACTGCCGCTACTCGCGGGGCCAAGAGAAGGACGCCGAGGGCAGCTGCGTTGGTGGGTGCTGGTGCTGTTAGAATGATAGAATCTGCCTGCAGCATTGCTGCACTGCAACTTCATGGCCTTACTATACATTGCTTGTATCTGCTGCATTTTGCGTGAGTGATTGAATGTGCATGCAACATTGCAATATTGCTCCACACTCCACTCCGATCCGCTGCACCTGTTCCATGGCTCATCATGGCGTTATCTGGTATCTGCATTTCACACAGCTTGTGCACATGGCGTTATGGTCTCTCGTCAATTATGTTGTGTGCCTGCCCCGTCTGCCCCCACATGTCTGCCCCCACGTGTCTGCCCCCACGTGTCTGCCCCCACGTGTCTGCCCCCACGTGTCTGTCCCTACGTGTCTACCCCCTGTTTCTGCCCCAATGTGCCTAACCCCACGTGTCTGTGCCTACCCCCACGTGCGTGTGTCTGCCCCCACGTGCCTGTGTCTGCCCCCACGTGCCTGTGTCTACCCCCACGTGCCTGTGTCTGCCCCCACGTGCCTGTGTCTGCCCCCACGTGCCTGTGTCTGCCCCCACGTGCCTGTGTCTGCCCCCATGTGCCTGTGTCTGCCCCCACGTGTGTGAGTGCAGACGTGTGCACGGTACGCAACTACGGCCCCAACTCGAGGTGCCTGAAGAACGAGGCAGGCTGGGCCAACTGCGAGTGTGAGAGGGGCCTCAATCTGCTGCCCAATGCGTCATGCGCTCGTGAGTGCCTTCCCACCCTGTTTGCAGCTTCCTGTATCCGCTGCTGCCGAGTGTCCTGCACGCGTGAGTGCCTTCACCCACCCGTGTTGCTCCTATGTTAGCTTCTTCCTATGGCCTGAATCCCCCTCTCCAGCGCGTAACAACACCCATGCAATTGTTCTCGGTATGAGCTTTCCTGTTTGCACTAAAAGTCCTCTCAGGCACGCATGCATACTCAGCAGTCAGGCAGGGCACTCCGACCATTCTCCCCTTCCTCTCAGTCAGGCAGGGCACTCCGGCCATTCTCCCCTTCCTCTCTCTCTCGTGCACTCTCACTCGGTCGTTGCTTATTCCCGGCCTCATGTGCGTTTTCTCGTGCTGTGTGTGTCAATCCGACAGACTCGTGTGCGATAAGGGACTGTGGGGAGAATGGGGACTGTGAGAAGGAGCACGGGCTACTTTTGTTTGAGGTGCCCCAAAATCCCTCACTCTCTTGTTGCTGCTCCCGGGCCGTATGTGCCTTCTCTCATGCTGTGCCCCCGAAAGACTCGTGTGCGATAAGGGACTGTGGGGAGAACGCCTACTGTGAGAAGGAGCAGGATCGTGCTGTGTGTCACTGCAACTGGGGCTACGCCATGACCGACACTGGCTGTGTTGGTCAGTCAGTGCTCTGCTGCCATGCGTGACGATTGTGCTTCTGTGATCTGTGTGTTTTTTGCTTGCCGTCTCTCTCTGCAACATTGGTTACGCCATGACCGACACCGGCTGTGTTGGTCAGTCAGTGCTCTACTGCCAAAGTCGATACTCCTTATGTGTTGCACAACGCCGGCATGATTTGGAGTGGTTAGGTTAGGCTGTTGTGTGCTACCTTCATTGTGTGTGCTGTACCAATGTAATGCGCTTTCCAATGTATTTTTCATTCATTTTCTAACACTTTGCGTTTATTGACCCTGCGACTCCTCCCTCCCCTGGCAGACACGTGCATATTGCAAGCATGTGGTGAGAACGGCCGCTGTGTGAAGGACGCAGCAGGGATGGCGTCTTGTGTGTGTGACATTGGTTTCACGCTGCAAGATGATGGCAGGACATGCATAGGTAAGGATGCTGTGCCTTGTTGTGTGCGTGTGCTCTTGCGTCCTTCTGTGTTTTGCTGCTGTGTGTCCCATGTACTTACGTGTTCTCTCCCCTTCTTTCCCAATCTCTCTACCTCTTCCTCTCTCTCCCTCTACCGCTTCCTCTCTCTCTTCCTCTACCTCTTCCTTTACCTCTTCCTCTAATTATTCCTCTCCCTCCACGACTTCCTCTCGCATGTGCTCTTCCTTGTGCCCGTCCTCTCTTGTCCTCTCTTCCATGTCCCTTTTCTCTTATGGTCCTTGTCCCTTTTCTCTCTCACGCTCTCTCTTTCTTTGTCCTTCCCTCAAGCCCGAATGTTCTACGTCCTCTCCGTCCTCTCTGCACTCTCTCTCAATCGAAGGACCTGCACATTGCTTTTCTCCTTTGCCCCTCCCCCTCAGATAATTGCATTCTCAGGGGGTGCCAGGCACTCACGTCAGATTGTAGGAAGTACGAGGATGGCACGGCGTACTGTCTATGCAAGCCAGGCTACACACTGCTCTACGGCACCTGTGTTGGTACGTAATGCAGTCTTGATACTCTTGGATGGATTACAACCTCCCCTCCCCTCCCCCCCACACCAACTGCGTCCACTCTCACCCCTTCCTCTTTCCGTCCTATGCATTGTTTTGCCTGCGCACACAACTATGGTTGCATGCTCTTTTTATGCTGCCCCCCTGGTATTCCCATACTATTATGTGCATCTCTATCAGACTTTGCATTGTGCTCATTGTGCAGTCCTATGCTTTGTTGTGTGTTGCCATCTATTCTAAACGTCTCCTTTTCCCCCCTTTCTATCCAGCCCAGTCCAAGCACTAAGCTTCTCTCCTTCTAATCCACCTGCTCTCCTATCGCACTCACATATTCCCACCATTTCTCCACCCTGTGCTCGCCAGAACCTGCCACATGTAGCAAGAGTCCATCCCTGGGATCACATGCACTCTGCTTATGCTGCCCCTCTGATTCTCGTGCTGTGATGTGTCCCCCACCATTTCTCCACCCTGCGCGCACCAGGGCCTGCCAGATGTGGCACCTGTCCAGCCCTGGCCACATGCACGCTTGTGTGCCCTCTTTTCCCCGTCTACTCTACCTGCTCTCCATGGCTCCTCTTCTTACATGTTTCCACTATTTTGCCACCCCAACCTCACCAGGGCCGGCCACGTGTGGCAACTGCCCGTCCTAGGCCACATGCACGCTTGTCTCCTCCACCAGAAAGTCTCCTTACTGCGTCTGCCCTCGTGGCTATGGCATGGCCAGCACTGGTTGCGTTGCCGGTAAGGCCATTATGCTTGTTTGTATTCAAGAAGAACCAATTATATCGCATTCGTGGATACATCAAAAGTTCAAGTTTAACTAGGTTTATTCATCAATTGTGCATGTATCCTTCTCACGACCCCATACCCCGCGTCACACCCGATACCCTTGACATGCTACACCTACACCATGCGTGTGACCTACAATGGATGTCCCGACATGCCTTCACTTCCTCCTCCACACGCAACCCCCTTCCCTCCAAGAGCAACCCCAACCGTGTACTCTGCAAGTCTCACCTTCTACAACCAGCCGGCATTTGCCTTGACACCCTACACCTTCACCGTGCGTGTGGAATACACCGGATGCACCAACCTGCCGTCATTAATCGGCCTCAATGTGCGCTCATATCGGCGGGTGGACAGGGCACCGGGAGTAGCAGGGGAATGCCAGTTTATCAACGTATATCGTTATGCCAACTGCTTTACCCTGCTGGCTCAGATGCCTTACCTCTCACTCACCAGCATTGCTGCAGCAGGTGTTGCATAAGTCATTGAACCTGTTTATTACACCCAATCTGATGCTTTCCATGCATTTGACCCATTCCTACTCTGCTTCAGATTCGTTATTGATTCTAGAAGCCAAGCCACTCCGTCCCATGAACACCCACTTCTCCTTTTGTGCGCGCGCTCACATTTCCCTGCATGTTCTCGTTTCTTTGTGTGCCTCTCATCAGATTCAAATCAGCTGCCATGCTGTCTTTCTTGTGTGTCCGTAAACAATACGCTCGTGGAATGCTTATGAAGACCAGCAATCCACTACGCCAAATGAGGTGATGCTGCTTTTGAAATCAAAACGGCAGGTGCAAGCAGCCCAACAGCAGCTCCCCTCAACGGCAGGTGCAAGCAGCCCAGCAGCAGCTCCCCTCAACGGCAGGTGCAAGCAGCCCAGCAGCAGCTCCCCTCAACGGCAGGTGCAAGCAGCCCAGTAGCAGCTCCCCTCAACGGCAGGTGCAAGCAGCCCAGCAGCAGCTCCCCTCAACGGCAGGTGCAAGCAGCCCAGCAGCAGCTCCCCTCAACGGCAGGTGCAAGCAGCCCAGCAGCAGCTCCCCTCAGAGCGAAGACATGTGTTGTTGGTCCAAGTGGAATCCCCAAGGTGGTGTCCGAAGCACGCAGCCAAGCATCAGCAGCTCCTCTCACCCCGAAGGCGGGTGTTGGCACAAGTGGAATTTCCAGACCTGCAATCGGTTTGCCTACAAGGAGGGGTGCAGTAGGAGTGACGGGAAGTGGCATTCCGAAGCCAGGCAAGGCAGTAGTCAAGTGAAATGGTGGAAAAAAAAAGAAAGAAAGAAAGAAAAAAAAAACACACACACAACAACAACAACAACAACAACAACAACAACAACAACAACAGCAATAGCAACAACAACAACAACAACAACAACAACAACAACAACAACAACAACAACAACAACAACAACAACAACAACAACAACAACAACAACAACAACAACAACAACCAGCAGCAGGTGGGATGCAGAGCGTAATCGATAGGGATGTGAAGGGAAGTGTGTGTTCAAAAGAAGAAGAAAAAAGGAACAAGAAAATAAAAGAAAAAGCAGCAGCAGCGGCAGCAGCACTAGATGAGATCCAGGGCGTGCTTTATGGGAATATAAGCGGACGAGTGTGGTGGGTGAGATGGCATGGCTGGTGGGGGCGAGAGGGAGGTGCATGGAGGGACTTACCCCTTTTTCCACCCTGCTTGCAGGGTGTTGTGGGAGAGATGGGAGGAGAGGTGGAGGAATGTGGTGAGTTGGAATGGGGAGGCATGGCATGAGGGGGAACGGCATGCCCTTGGATCTGAATGCTTGTGCTGACTGTGCCACATGTTGCTGCACCGTGCACCTGCTTGGCTCATGAATAGTAGAAAATTCTAGATTATCATTCAGGTCCATGTTCTAGGCCTGTAGCTTGTAGTTGTTGATGCTAGATATATATGTATTCTGTTGATGTGCATTATGTGCTCGTGTGTTGCGACTGAATGGTGTATTCTGATGGAGGAATGGTTGGTGGGTGTAATCGTATGGATGGGTGAAGTAGGGAGAAGAAACTTGACAGTGCTGGCAGTGACTATCCAATTCAAGGGGAAATGCTCATGCTGACTGTTGATCCCTTCCCTTCCCTCTGCGCTTCTTAGTAACTTCATGGTTGGGATTTGTGATTTCTTAGTACCCCTAGACCCTCTTACTCTTTCCCTTTCTGACATCTCTTGTCTTGTTTGTCCAAATCTTATTTCTTAGTACCCCCAGACCCTCTTACTCTTTCCCTTTATGACATCTCTTGTCTTGTTTGTCCAAATCGCCACGACCTGGTCTCATCCCAATCCATCCCTCCCTCCCTCCCTCCTTCCATTTCTTTTAGATTTAAACCGTACATATGCATGAACCAGCCCAGAGTATTATTTTTACCATCATGTGCTGCTTGGTGAGTAATTCAATCTACTTTCATCACCTCCTCATGCCAGCAGGCTTTATATATGTCGTCAAAGTCTCTTCCTTAACTGGTAATGGTTGAAGGGATCACAAAAAACTCCAACATTTTTACATCAGCTAAAGTTGTTGATATTGTATGTTTCTGTACGTGCTTTTCTTTTAGCATATGATGCTGCATCGCACGCCAGTTTCATCAGCTCCTGATGCTTTCATGATTTCTTACCAATCCATTCTCAGGTCATATCATGATGCTTTAAGATTCTCATACGACAGTTCTCACCTCATCTATCCTTCACCCCGACATGTCCCTTTCATTAGCTCATCATCCGCTCCTTAGCTGGAATCTTTCAGGCACTGGTAATGAATCTCATCAGCTGATGTCCTCTCTTTGAAGCCTTTTGATTCTATCATATTCAGCTTCAGTGAATATAACGTCTACTTTGGGATGAATAATGTTCTGTGTTGCCCTGTGCCTGTCGGTCAATGGTCATAGATCTAGTGCCCCCCCCCCCCTGCTCTTCTCAAGTTTCGTTTCTCTTTTCCCCTCTGTGTTCACATCTCCACTCCTTCCTGTTCTCTCAACTTCCTTTCCTTTCGCTACCAATCAGCTTTCATCACTCTTCACCTCTTCATAATGGTACATGCTTCAAAATCCCTTCTTGATGCCTAACTGCACTGATTTGAGAAAATCCATGAACTTGTATGATTATCAATATTTCTCCAAACTCCCATCCCTGCTTGCTTCCTCAGACCGCTTCCCTAACTATCCGACGGTTGGCCATTGGTGATGCTGTATCAAGTTTTGTTTTGTCGTGTTGCCTTCCTCTATGCCCTTTTCAACCTTCACTCCCTCTTCCAATCATCTGAAAATCAGCCAGCAATGATGCTGTCAGCGCATCTGGTTGTCCACACCATTTTCACAGCAACGGCAGTCCCTTATGACGGAAACAAAATGCATAGTTAGCTGGTATTGTATGCCAAATTCAAAAGCTCATGCATGATACTTTCAGTATTTCATGCTAGTTTCAGGAGATCAAGATGTTTTCAGGATCGTATTTCAGTATCAACAGCGTATGTCATTTTGTTGAAGGTATCAGTGATTTTAGCGTTTCATGCCCAATTCCACCAGCAAATGCTGTTTTCAGTGTCTGATACTACGTACTTGTTATCTCACCATGTCTTTCATCATTCCTTGATTCTTTTTGTAGCTCTTGTCAGCCTCATCATCGCGTCGTCTCATGTGAGTTTCAGCAGCTCCTACCTAATGTGTTCCGCATCTCATGCCACATTCATCTGCTCCGCATGCTTTTCCAGTTCTTGCCAATGTCATCAAGTCACAAGCCTATCCGGTATTTCCTTCCAATTTGACAAGCTCATAATGTTTGCAACAACACTTCATGCCAGTTCAATCAGTGCCTGATGGTTTCAGTATATATTCCGAGTTTGCCTGCTCATGATACTTTCAGCATTTCATGAGAGATTGTATTCCCACAACATTTAAATATCGTAGAGCTATGATGAGAACAACAGACTCGATAAGAATGCTAGTGTAAATAAAAAAGGTTTGAAGGCGTATGAAAATACGCAAGCTTCACGGTTAATGAATCTGCAATTATCGCATCTAGCTTTTCTGTTCACCTTCGCGCCATTCTTGGTGGGCTAGTTTGGGATGTCAGACAGAACCCTAGTTCCTCGGGAGTAGTTTACTAGTAACAAGCTTGCGAGGCGCGTTTCCTTCAGTCACCATAGAGGAAATGACAGAGCGCCGTGTTTTCGAATTTCCAATTCCAATGGGCAGTGGTTTTGACAGCGCATTGCTCTGCGCTCGCGTCCAATACCTTGGGGCATATTCTTTCTCAGTTTCCCCTTTTAAGTCCACAAATACAAGTGGTTTTTAGGTTACGGGGTATTAAAAATGTATTCGTCGAGTCCATGGCAAACGCTCAGCTCGGGACAAAAAAAATATAACCCTCATGGATGGTATGCCACGAAGAGAGCATCAACCCTAAACACCATGAGGCAAGGTGTTTAGGGCTGATGCCTCCCAAATGGCTTGTCATCCGAGTGGGTTTTAGTTTTTCCACTGGCCTCTATACTGAACCCAGGTAATCTTAATATTTGCCCTTCTATACGTTTGGTCATGAAAAATGGGAAACAGCAATATAAACTGACCGCGGGAATTGGGCGCGAGCGCGGTGGGAGTCGCTGTCAAAGCCACTGCCGAAAGGAATCGAAAACGCGCAAACACGGCGGTCCGTCATTTCCTCGTCACCATACGACACAGTTGTGTTTGCCCTCCGCCGCTATGCGGCGACTTTTGCACTCTATTGACGATGACGGAACGGAACCATTCTTTGAGCAACCTTGGTCTAATCTCACGACGGCAAGTCCGTCAAGTTCACCCATCATCCAGCAAACCCCTTTAGCGTAAATGCGACTCGAGATTGTTTTTCGCTGCCCCGAATTCTCGTCGTCCGAAGCGAAAGAGTCGCTGCTGTTGTCCCTCAACATCGAAGTTCCGCTCCCAAGCCTCCGAAGGTTCGGCTCCAACCGAACCAAACCAGATCATCCCCACGACCATATGTTTCGGAGTGTTTGATCTTCTCGGTTCGGGCAGCAGGCTTGCCTCCTCCGGAGTCTCGAGAGTTGCTCTTCGCCAGTCGAGCTTTATCCACCCTTCCTGTAACACCTCGCTACCCACTGGGTCAAAACGAGGGTTGTATTTGAGGCGTAGCGGATGCTCTCATACCCTTACGTGTAAGCCCCACAGGCGTTACACTCGTCCCCCCCTGGAGCCAACGTCTTCGTTGGGTAGGGAGTCGACCCTCGCAAGGACCCGAATCTCGCTCTACAGCGACTTCGCTGATAGGCCAGGCCAGCGGCCGATCGTTCACTGGGTTCGCGACTGGCACATTCAAATGTGACCCAGCCGGAATCGAACCCCAGGCTCTGATACCAAATGTAACACCTCGCTACCCACTGGGTCAAAACGAGGGTTGTATTTGAGGCGCAGCAGATGCTCTCATACCCTTACGTGTAAGCCCCACAGGCGTTACACTTCCCTCCGCCTTAGAACCTCCCTTCCGAACTTTACAAAGTCCTCCTGTCCTCGCCATTTCCACCACCACAGCAATTGCAATCTCAATATTTCTTCGACTCCGCTCCTAGCTCCTTCGATCAGCTTCAGGTTTTATCTTCGCCTCTCGTTTTTCCTGTGCGATTACCCTACCGCTATGGCATCTCGGATCCCCCCGTCTCTTGCTGGATCTGCGCACCGCGCTAACATCTTGAAGATGTGGCGGCACGCGATTGCAGTGCGCGTGGGACGCTTTAACAAGGTAGAGCAGTGTACTATGCGCTCCCCCCGTGCGTCGCTCGGCTTCTCCCCTCTGCGACCCCAGCCCGTGGCTAAGCCGCCTAGCAAAAAGCCCAGGCCCAGGGATGTGATGGGTACCGCCGCTACTGTGAAGCCAAAAGCGGTGCACAGCGGTCAAGCGACCGTCGCAGCTGTAGCAGCGAAAGCCACGCCAGTCAAGGCGACGCCAGTAAAGGCGACGCAAGCTAAGGCGACGCTGGCCAAGGCGACGCCAGCCAAGGCGACGCCAGCCAAGGCAACGCCAGCCAAGGCAACGCAAGCCAAGGCGACGCAAGCTAAGGCGACGCAAGCTAAGGCGCTGCCAGCTAAGGTGCTGCCAGCTAAGGCGTCGCCAGCGAAGGTGACGCCAGCTAAGGTGATGCCACCAGCTAAGGCGTCACGTGCAAGTCCTACTGTCGCGGTCGGTGTGAAAGCTGCAGGTGCAAGCAGCCCAGCAGCAGCAGCAGCACCAGCCACTTCAGCTCCCCACAGCGCGAAGGTAGGCCTTGCTGGCAGGTCTGGAATCTGGAGACCTGTAAGCAGTGCGGCAACGAGGAGGCCCGCAGCAGGAGTGACAACAAGTGGCATTCCCAAGCCAGGGAAGGTAGCAGTCAAGTAAATGTGTGGCTAAAAAATAAAAAAACACCAGATGAGATCCGGGGCCTCTTCAATGGGAATGTGAGGGTACGAGTGTGGTGGGTGAGATGGCATGGCTGGTGGGGGCTAGAGGGAGGTGCATGGAGGGACTTACCCCTTTTTCCACCCTGCTTGCAGAGTGTTGTGGGAGAGATGGGAGGAGTGGTGGAGGAATGTGGTGAGTTGGAATGGGGAGGCATGGCATGAGGTGGAATAGCATGCCCTTGGATCTTAATGCTCATGCTGGTTGTGTGATTCAAGGGGAATGCTCATGCTGGTGTCTGTGCCATCTGTTGTTGCACCATGCACCTGCTTGGCTCATGAATAGTAGAAAGTTCTATATTGTTATAGATTAAGTCATAGGTTCAGTTCAGTGGTTGTAATTGTTAATGCTATATTTGTGTTATTGCTGTTCATGTGCTCTTCGTGTTTGTGTGTTGAGTGGGAGTGGTGCATGATAGGGCGGAGTGGCTGGTTGGGTGTATTTGGGTGGAGGAGATGGGGTAGAAGCCACTGAATGGTGCTGATTCAGTCTGTGTGATTCAAGGGGATTGGTGATGCGGCCTTTGTCAGCGATGGTATTCTACAGTGTTTTTCTGCATCTCTTCCATTATCTCTTATCCCGCCATATCTCCACCTAGTCCCATTACCCCACTATCCTTTCAGTTGAATAGTATATGATGTTTAATTCCACCCATGACTTCCAATTTTCCATTTTATCAGTATGTGCTGCTTTATGAGTTGCTCATGACAGTATCATTGCCTCCTGATGCTTTCACCATTTTATGCAAGGTTTTCCAGCTGACGTTATCATGCTTTCACTTTCTCATGGCAGCCTGACCAGCACATTATGCGTTCAATGTCCCATTCCGATTTCATCAGCTCGTCAATCCGTCATGCCATTTGCATATGTTCATGGTTCTTTCAGTGGCTAATGCTGATTTCATCACATCATGAGTTCAGAGCATTCTCCAATCCCTCTCCAAACATGTCTTCTCTCTTGAAGCGTACTCCCACCCCTCTCTCTTCATGCGATGATATTTGATTTTTTAATTGCTTCTGCTGCCCTGGTCCGTGCTGTGGAAAGCTGAACGAGAATGAATGAACTATGAATGAAGTGAGTACAAATATGAAACCCTAGTTGGGTTGTACCCCCTATGGGATACCCCACTATAGCCTACACAAATAAGTAAGCTATAATGTTCTGACACACCCCCATAGGCAAAGTGGGGGAGAACAAGGGGTCACAAGACCAGTCAGGCAAAGCAAAGCAAAGCTCAGGGTGGATCACAAAGTCACCACACATTCCGAGCGCAAGGTCAAGGGCCACAAGGCCAGTTCGCATGCAAGATCATATAGAGATATACAAGAGTCAAGCAAGCAAGAGCAAGAGTATATATAGGTCAAGGTACAAGCAAGGTCAAGAAGTGAGCAAGTGAGGCAAGACAGGCACAAGACCCAGCTGCGTGCAGCAACGCTGATGATCACAAGGCGCAAGTGCCTTGGTGAAGACATCAGCAGTGTTGGCCTCAGAGGCCACGTACGCAAGTCGCAACTATCCACGCTGCTGCAGCTCACGAGCAAGAAAGTAGCGGAGAGCAATGTGCTTTGTCCTATGCTCCAGTCGCTGCTCTCGACACAAGGCCAGCATGGCCTTGTTGTCTACATACAGGACTGGAGGAGAACGAGGCGGCTCTCCAAGGTCGGTCAGCAGGTAGGTGAGCCAGCGAAGCTCCTGAGCAGCCATAGCCCCGGCGTATATCTCAGCCTCACAACTGGAGCCGAGAACGGAAGACGAGCGAGTAGCCCGCCACGAGACAGAGCCGGAACCAAGGCCGAAGGTGTAACCCTGTGACGACCGCTGCGTAGCCTGGTCGTCAGCCCAAGAAGCGTCCGCGTGCCCAGTGAGGACCACTGGACTGCGCCCTCCAAGCACTAGCCCCATGCCCGACGTACTGCACAAGTAGCGCAACACCCTCTTCGCTGCAGCCATGTGCTCTGGTCGGTGTCTCCCAGGAGCAACATAGCGCGCGAGAATGCTGAGAGGGTATGCAAGGTCAGGTCGTGTGCAGGTCATCAGGTACATGAGGCAGCCAACAAGCCTTGAATACGGGCCACTCGACTCTACGGACTCATCCAAAGGCAGAGCTGAGAGCGAGTGGCGAGTAGACAGAGGAGTGGCCTGAGGCGAGGAGTACGTGAAGCCGAAGCGCTGAAGGACCTGCTGCACCATGTGTGACTGAGTCAGGGTAATGGTGCGGCGTGCTCTGTCCCGGGTGATCTGCAAGCCAAGGTAGCTGCGCAGTTCACCTAGGTCAGTGCACGTGTGTCTCTTCTGCAGCTCGGACTTCACGTAAGCGAGTCGAGCAGTGTCCGCTGTGGCAAAGACCAAGTCGTCGACGTACACGAGGATGTAGAACGGCGGCAGAGAGGTGTCGGTGCGTAGAAACAGCGACGGGTCGGCTGTAGAAGGAGCAAACCCAAGTGCCGCAAGCGTAGTCCTCAGTGTGTTGTGCCACTCACGTGGCGCCTGGCGGAGACCGTAGACTGGACGCCGGAGACTCCACTGGGTACCAGGAGGGAAAGACCCAGTGAAGCCAGGTGGGCGGCGCAGCCAGATCTCCTTGTTCAGGCTGCCCTGCAAGAACGCAGTTCTGAAGTCGAGAGAGTGCAGCTCGTAGTCACGGTGAGCAGCAACGTGCAGCAGTACCCAAAGAGTGGTCATCTTCTGGGTGGGGGAGAAGGTCTGAAAGTAGTCAACCCCCTGCCGCTGACTGAAGCCACGAGCCACGTAACGCGCCTTGAAGACAGGCGGAGAACCCGGCGGCCGCTTCACCCTGAAAATCCACATGCCACTGACGATGTTCGCCCCAGGAGGGGGGACAGCGTCAACGTAGGTGCCTGTGGACTTCCAGGAAGCCATCTCTGCATCCATAGCTGCCTGCCACTGAGAGGAGTAGGGACCCTCTATCGCCTCCGCGTAAGAGCGCGGAGTCGGGATGTCAAGTGCATCCGGGTCTCCCTCAGGGGTAAGCAGTACGGACACGAGATGAGGTGAAGCAGCGGCCAGACATTGGAACTCCTCCTGCCTGTCCTCAAGGACATCCGTGCCAAGGGCACACTCACCCCCGACGGACGGAGGACAGGCAGACTCAGACTCAGCGACAAGACTAGCAGCGTAGTCGAGACGACAACGAGCAGCAAAGTCGACGAGCTCAGTAACAAGTGCAGACGCAGCAGTACACTCGAAAAAAGGGTTAGTGACGGCAGTAGCAAGGAGACGCGTGACAGTAGGACTGGCAGCACGAAGAGAGTCCCACTCCGGGTCGGCAAGAGCAGGAAGAGAGGAAGCAGGAGGAGAAGGCAAAGGGGCACGCAGAGGAGCAGTAGACGGACGCAGAGACATCCGGTGCGTGCCAGGGACAGGAGGAGGACGCTGACGCGAACCACGACCACTAGTACGCGCAGTACGAACAGGCGACGCAGGACGAGACGCAGGCTCACGACGCTCAGTAAGACCTCCAGTCGGACTAGCGTAGGGAGAAGGAGCAGGCAAAGGTGAGGTAGGCTGTAGCTGTGACTATGACGAGACAGGCTGTGGACCCTCTAAGGGAGGAGGAGGAGGACCAGGAGAAGGTGTAAGACCAAGAACCTGCTGCAGGAGCGGAACGAAGTACGGCCGGGGCTGCGCGGCGATGCCAAAAACAGCAGGGACAGCACCAGTACCCCCAGCAGGAGTACCCGCTCCAGCAGCACCACCAGGAGCACCACCAGCCGGACCTCCAGTGGCAGTCTCAGCGTCAACACCCTCAGCAGCACCAGCTCCAGGAGAACCCTCAGACCCAGCAGCTCCAACACCCACAGTACGAGCACCGCCGGGACGCTCGGCAGCAGTACCCTCTGCAGTCGAAGAACCTCCAGCACCAGCAGCACGCCTCCAGCGCCTGGCAAACCACTCACGTAGCTCCTGAGGGGAGAGTGGCTCTCGGCTAGACATAGCACCTCCAGGCGGAGCACCCCCAGTCTCAGCACCTCCAGGCTCAGCACCCCCAGGCTCAGTACCCCCAGGCTCAGTACCCCCAGGCACAGCACCCCCAGGCTCAGCACCTCCAGGCTCAGCACCCCCAGGCTCAGCACCCCCAAGCTCAACACCCCCAGGCTCAGCACCTCCAGACTCCGCACCCCCAGGCTCAGTACCCGCAGGCGTAGCACCTCCAGTCTCAGCACCCCCAGGCTCAGCTCCCGCAGCAGCACCAGAGTCACCAGTGACCTCGACAGGCTTGACCGCGTCTACCTGGGACACACCTGAAGGGGCAGGACCCTGAGGGGGGAGGGGGTCTACCGGGGGGGGACCTGGTACCAAGAAGAGCGGGGGCGGGGGGAGGGACGGAGTGCGGTAGGGGAAGAGGCAGTAGTAGGGTACCGACTCGTCGAACGTGACGTCCTGGGAGGACAGAACACGTCGAGAGGTGGGGTGGTAGAACTGCCACCCAGGGGCGTCGGGGGGGAACCCCAGGAAGACGCAGGGAGCAGCGCGAGGGGACAGCTTGTCCGCAGACAAGTCGCGGACAAACGCCCGAGATCCCCAGACCCGGAACGCCGACGCATCGCCAACCTTCCCCGTCCACAGAAGGGCTGGGGAGGTCTCCGGCCTGGAGACCCTGGGGTGGAGGTTGATCTGATGCGCCGCGTACCTGACCGCAAACGGCCACAGAAAATGGGGGGCAGCCGCATGCATCATAGACGTACGAGCGACGTCCATGACCATGCCAATGCGGCGCTCTGCAATCCCATTTTGCTGCGGTGAGTCCGGAAGCGTGAAGGTCTGGCGGATGCCTCGCGCACGACAGTAGGCACGCAGAAGGCCAGAGGAGAACTCTCCGCCTCTGTCCGAGTGCAGACGCAACACAGGAAAGTCCGAGCCAAAGCTCTGCCTGAGCTGGAGACGAGCTGCGCGGATCCAGTCGATCAGCACCTCAGTGACATCACCCTTGCTGCGCAAGGGGAAGACTGTGGTGTAACGCGAGTAGTCGTCAACCACCAACAAGAAGGAGCACTCGTGACCGAGTCCACGGACGCGGGCAGGGCCCCACACGTCCATGTGAAGCGTCTGCAACGGAGCCTCTGTTGGAGGAAACTGGGAGGATTTAGGGGCAGCACGCTGGCGCCCCTCGACGCAGGGGACACAGGCAGGGCCAGGGCCCTGA